GTCATCACCTCCTCTAAAGCCTACCGTGCCATCTGATTGTGTTCCAAATACCTGTCACAAAGAACTTGAGATCCCTCCTATCACTTTCCTTGTTCCCACCTCTATATATACCTATGCTACCCCAATAACACCTGTCTCACCCAAATCTAGCCTCATCTTACCGCTTGCCATATCTGAAATAACCAGCTACTGCCAGGATCTCCCAGAATGAACTGGGATCTTGGACTTGGCAATCTTTAAACACCATTGTGCATCGGGACAAATACTATCAGTCTGGATGCGCCATTGTTCCTGACATTTATTCTACATGTGACACATAGGCGGAGTTTAGAGTTCTGCTTTATGGAGTTTCTGGAGAACTGAGTAGTGCAAAGGTGGCATGTCATCTTCTCCAGGACCAGCGGTGGAGGCCATGAAATCAGGTCTTGCCAGCTTGACTGAAGGTTCCAAATGGGTCAATGCTATCTTAGCCATCTGAAGGAATGCACAGAAACCTAAGAAGAAGTCAATGACTCTCTCCACTCTGCCAGCATAATTCTCTTTCTCTGATACCTAACACTCACTCTATCTATCTCTGTCACTGAATCCATCTCACCAAACCTTATGATCTATCACTCTCACTATTGCCTGCAACATCTTCCCATTCACTTTCATTCACCCCAGTACCCTACGTGAACTCTGCTCTGCCTCTTCACTCACTTGGGATACCTCCACAATTGAACCAAAAGTAAAAGCTGTGTCACTCACTTTCATATCCCCTAATACTTGTCTTTCTCTCATTCCAGGAGGAAAACAACCCATAATAGGGAAAAAAGTGTCAAGACGGGTGACAGGATGTCTAACATTCAGCTCTTCACCTCTTATGTGGAAAAGATCCTGTCTCTGTTCTCCCCATGCAGCTGACCAACAATGCCTAAGGCCCTGGTTGTGATATCAGACGCTTTACTGACTGTGTCAGAACTCCCTGAGTAAAGTCTATCTCCTGTGAATTGCCTGAGGCATGCAGACAGCAATGGCAAGCTTAGAGAAAGTAAGAACTGCCGATGCTGGAGTCAGAGATAACACAGTGTGGAGCTGGAGGCACACAGCGGGCCACACAGCATCAGAGGAGCAGGAAAGGTGACGTTTTGGGTCGGGACCCTACTTGAGAAATGGGGGAGGGGTAAGGGAGCTCTGAAATAAAGAGAGAGAGGAGGGGTGGGGTTGGGGAAGGTAGCTGGGATGGTGATAGGTGAGTGCAGGTAGGGAGTGGTGGGGATTGGTCAGTGAGGTGGGAGGACCGGATAGGTGGGAGAGAAGACGGACACCCACCCCCGGCCTCATCCCATGACCAATCCTCCCTCTTGTCCCCGCCTCCTTGACCTGACACAACCTGTCCGTCTTCTCCCTCACCTATCTGCTCCTCCCACTTTATTAACCAATCCCCACCACTGCCTACCTGCACTCACCTATCACCATCCCACCTACCTTCCCCAGCCCCACCCCTCCTCTCTCTATTTATTTCAGAGCTCCATTACCCCTCCCCCATTTTGGAAGAAGGGTCCTGACCCAAAACGTCAGCTTTCCTGCTCTTCTGATGCTGCCTGGCCTGCTGTGTTCCTCCAGCTCCACACTGTGTTAACAATGACCAGCTTTCTGGCTTTGTATTTGTACTAAGCACATGTCAGCATCACAGAACGGTGAGTCTAGTATCTCTGTCCAAGGGCAAGGTATAAAAGAGCAAGACATCTCAAAACAGGGATACTTTGAGCATGAAGGCATGCTCAGAGTGAGTGAGTAGGAAGAGAGCAAGTGAAGAGTCTCGTGAAGCAGGTGTTCTGCTTCATGATCTATTTGCATACCTCTGGGCGCTCAATGAGAGTTGATGTTCCATCATGAGGTACAGGAGCATATTTTAACTGGTTTGGTGATGTGCCATGAATTTTTGGATGCCAATGTCCCACACCGCTGTGGTGTGTGTGTGTGTGTGTGTGTGTGTGTGTGTGTTGTCCATCCTTAGTTTACCTTGAGGAGTTGATAGTCGTGAACTGCCTACTTGAATTACTGCTGTCCATGAGTTGCAAGGAGACCCACAATGCTGTTAGGCCAGAAATTCCAGGAGTTTTGAAGTGAAGGAATGGCAATATATTTCCAAGTCAGGATGGTGAGTGGCTTAGAGGGGAACTTGAAGGTGGTGGTGTTCCCACATATCGGCTGCCTTTGCCCTTCTAGATGGAAGTAGTCATGGGTTTGGAGAGTGATGTCTAATGATTGTTGAATTTCTGCAGTGCATCGTGTAGATAAAACACACTCCTGCTACTGAACATCAGTGGTGGAGGGAGTCGATGTGATGCCAATCAAGCAGGCTGCTTTGTCCTGGACGATGTCAAAGTTGAAGTCTTGTTGGAGTTGTACCTATCCAGACAGGTGGAAAGTAATCCATCACATTCCTGACTTTATCTTGTAGATAGTGGACAGGCTTTGGGAGGTAAGTTACTGGCCACAGTATTCCTAGCCTCTAACCTGATGATGTAGCTATTGTGTTTATGCGGTGAATCCAGTCGAGTTTCTGGTCAATGGTAACCTCTGGGATGTTGATAGCAGGAGATTTAGAGATGGCAATACCATTGAATGTCAAGGAGTGGTGGTTAGATTATCTCTTATTGTAGATGGTCATTGCCTGGCATTTGTGCAGCATAAGTGATGCTTGCCTCTTGTCAGCCCAAGCCTGAATGTTGTCCAGGCCCAATTGCATTTGAACAAGGACTGCTTCAGAATTTGAGAAGTTGCAAATGGTGCTGAACAATGTGCAATCATCTGCAAAATTCCCCATTTCTGACCTTATGGTGGAAGGAAGGTCATTGATGAAGCAGCTGAATAGCCTAGTTTTGGTCTAGAACATAACCCTGAGTAACTCCTGCAGTGATGTCCTGGAACTGAGATAATTGACCTCAGCAACAACAACTATCATCCTTTGTGCTAAGTATGACTCCAACCATTGGAGAGTTTGGCCCTGATTTGCATTGATTCCAGATTTGCTGGTAAATCTTTATGCTATACTTGCTCAACTGCAGCTTTAATGTCGAGGGCTGTCACTCTTACCTCACCTCTGGAATTCAACTCGGTTTTCTATGTTTGAACAACGGCTGTAATGAGGTGAGGAGCTGAGCAACTCTGGTGGCACGCGAACTGGGCATCAGTGACCAGCTTGTTGCTAAGCAGGTGCATTTGATTAATAGCACTGTAGATAACGTCTTCCATCATTTTACAGATGATGGAGAGTAGACTGAGGGGCTGGCAACTGGCCACGTTGGATTTGTCCTGCTTTTTGTGTACAGGACATACTTAGGCTATTTTCCACATTTTTTTTGGGTAGATGCCAGTACTGACATTGTCCTGGAAGAGCTTGGTTAGAGGTGTGGTAGGTTTGGCACATCGAGATGCTGGTGCCTGCTGTCCAAAATGGAGGTCCTCTGGAGCAAGCAACGAGTTGAAGTCACCAGATACCTGCTCTGACTTCCATGTTGAGAATTCTTAGCATTTAGTTTTTTTCAGGGTGGGTGGTAGGATAGGAAATTGATTATTACTGAGGTGAAGTGTGCAACTAAGTTGGGCCATTAACAAGCAATAGTCAAATCGCCAATGCCTAGTGAGAGTCTCGCTTCAACGCCCAGACCTTAGCTCAAATTTGCAGACCAGCGTTCCCAATTATGATAGACTTTGCTGGACTTGATTGAGCCATTTGTCTTGCCATAGGACATGTTGTTTGGTCACCTAGAAGAGTTGCCTAAATAAAGGGAAAGCCAATCTTTTCCCACCAATGCTTCTGGCATTAATAAACCTATTCTGTCCCAAAGACAGGGGCCAGCTTGATCTAAACAAAAACATTATTGTCAAGTGTTTGTCAAATTACTTGCCAGTTATAAAGGACAGTAACAGCTTTTTTGATTAGATTAAAAGTTTGATGATTAAAATTTGTGGTGCTTGGCATTGTTGCTGAAGTTGGTTAGCTCTTATATTGTTTCTGGGATAGTGTGTCTGAAGTACAAAACCACACTCAGTGCAAAAAGTTGCATTTCTCTGTCATGTGCACCTGTGGTCTGTTTTGTTACCATCTGAGTTCTAAACTTAGTCATCAGCAGCTAACCTACATGTGTTTCATCCATGTAAACACATTTTTTGCTGACACCTTGCATAAGATTAGGGGAAATGTGATTTCTTGCAACCAGGAGCATTGAGAAGCATTTGAGATTGAATCAGGATGACATGACTGTTAACAAACACTTGCTACACCTGACTGCACTTGTTGTCATTGACTTAAACTTGCTCCTGAAGAATTATTTTTCAAATCTGTATTCATCAATACAGATTTGTGATTTTTATGTGGGCTTCTTCCTGCCGTGTCAATCGTCACAATCTCCCACTGTCACCCAAATGCATGCCACAGTTCTAAATGAGTGGAAATCATCTGATGATGAATCTCCCCAAAAGTCCTCCAAATCCACTACTGTACCTTCATCATACAATTTCTGGGAATCTGGTCGAAACAGGATAGACACCATTTTTCCTGAAGCTAATTCTTGATATGGTTAAGCAACTTATTAATCATCAACACAATGAGTTGTCAAATGTGAGAAACAAGCCAAAAAGTTTCATTTCTAGACCCCTACTTTATTTGTACAATCCTACTTAACTCTGTAGGAGTCTTTACAATAGTGCAGTGTTGATTGTGTGACATTTATGACCATGTTTTATCTTTTAAATGACTTCAAACAGCAGGTACATTGTGTAGCCTTTTAAAACTCTTACATTTCATAAAATTGGTCAATTTTATATGCCAGTAAGAAACAATCTAGCCCACAATTTAATTCCACCAGGTAGTTGAATAATGTATATAAAGGTGTGAATATGTTTTATAGTTTAATATCTGCCATATAAGTTGTTCATTTGCTAAATGGCATGATCAACTGGCTCCAAATCTATACTTTCAAACAGTTTAAATTACGAAAGCATTGAAGGTAATTAGGGTTTATTTTGAGTGCTCATAAGTTACTAAATCCTGATCATTGAAGTTGCCTTCCTTTTACTCTGAAAGTGAGAGATAGAGGTAAGTTATTTTTTATCTTTTTTTCCCTTACATATTTTGATACCTCTTGTGTTGTCACACCTTGTCTTTGTTACAAGACCTACAGGCAGTGTGTTCCCAAATTCCATTGCTCCTGTTAACACTGAGAAAATACAGGACAGACATTTGCGAAGGATCATTGTGTGGTTTCCCTATCTCAACTATTGGAAGAAGGATCAAGGGATAAATTCTGCAACTGGTGCTTCTAGGGAGGGTCAATGTTTGCAGATGGTGCAAGTTGAAAATCTGCCACTCATTGTGAAATAACATTACTGCCTGCAAATTTTCAAACTTCTTCTCTCACCAGTTCCTTGAAATGGAGAGGACTTTGCCATCAAATTCAGGAAACTGCGCAGGGGTCTTTGAACATGGGGAGACTGTCGACTTACAGGTATAACATAGTTTGAGTTGACCAAGACTCTCTCCCATTCTTTCTGCCTGCTATAGTCATATCAGCAGTGTTTTCATGCTGATAAGGAGTCTATTTAGCCACATTATGAATGCACTTCATGTGGCTAGCAAATCCTGAAGTGGGTCTCTAACTCAAGGCTTCTCTCTCAGATGTAAAGATGCTGCCTGACTAAGCTATGAGACCTCCCTGCTTTGATTTAAATAGTCATGCCTTCCTCATATTTTTTTTTCATCTTTCCCAACAGAAACCGAGTAAATAATTCATGCAAGATAAATCAATAACTTGTGAACGTATAGAATGGCATTGTGAGCAAATTCACTTTGTTCAAAGAATGTGACTAATCATCAAGTAATGATTGAAAATAAAGAATGCACCATGTTTTCCCGCTTTAGTAGACAAGTTTACACAAGAGGAATAATGAATGGCCTGGTCAGAGTGGATGTTGGGAAGGTGTTTTCATTTGTCGGAGAGACTAGGACCCAAGGGCACAACCTTAGAGTAAAGGGAAGACTTTTTAGAACAGAGATACAGAGAAACTTCTTCAGCTAGAGAGTGGTGAATCTATGGAATTCACTGCCACAGAAGGCTATGGAGGCCAGGTCATTGAGTACATTTAAGACTGAGATAGATAGGGTCTTGATTATCAAGGGGATCAAGGGTTACGGGGAGAAGCGGGAGAATGGAGTTGACGAACTTATCAGCCATGATTGAATGGCGGAGCAGACTCAATCGGCCGAATGGCCTAATTTCTGCTCCCGTGTCTCATGGTCTTATAAGACTTCTATTTTCCTCCTGCGTTTAATGTGTGTGAACGCCTTCTTTAATAAACTTACTGCCTGTGCAGTGTTGTATTTTTAAAAAATCGTACTCCAAATTTGTGTCCCAGTGCATGTGTTATCTCCCTTCTGAAATAACTCCACACAGACTGCTATCCTATCACCAAGTCACCCTTTATTTACACATGGAAAGTCCTTGACACTGTTCCAGCTCCCTCAGAGCCAGCAGTCAGTGTGCCAGTATGTCTGACAGTCTTCTTTTTATCTGTCAGTCAGGACTGTCTGATTGGACCAGATTTACAGCCCCGATCAGGGAACTCGTATTGTATGAGGTCCACCTGGCTGAGCTCGTTACAGTCACCACACCCCTATTCCTCTGAGTCCGAGGACATAGACAGGCTGGTTCTTTTCCTTGTAGTGCCTCCTGGAGTATTTTAGCACCAGGTCAGGTTCCTCCAACTCTGTGTTAGATACAGGTGATGTGTAAAGCGCAGAAGCCTGCCTCTTGTGTCTGGAGCATCTCAGGAGAAATTGCCTTTGCTGCCAGAAGGAGAGCGTGAATGATGCAGCAAGATCTGCAACATCCATCTCACATTCAGAGGTCTCTTCAGCACTTGATGGAGAGGAAGAGTCCACAGGTTCCGAGAGCCTTTCCGTTGGTTCCAAGGAGCAGGGCAAGTTTTACTCCTGCACCATTTGTGCGTTTGCGACTTTCGTACGATCCACATGCTTGCTCAGGACCATCACTCCCACCCAAACTTTATACAACATTAGTCCTGACCTCTTACCCATGCAAGGCCATTTCCCTGGTTCTTACACCGAACTTCATCCCCAATAGTGAACTGTCTCTTTCACTTGGCGGAGTCTGGCATCCAACACTGGCATTCCTGATGCCATTTCACCACCCCCTCCCCCACCCAGGTCTGGGAAGATCAGATTTAACATGGTGCAGAGCCTTGTCCCCATTAGCAATTCTGCTGGAGCTATCCCCATAGTTGCATGATAGTCCTACAATCAAATCAGAACCAGGACAGTTTGGCATCTAGTAAAGCTGTAGCTGTTTCTTTAAACCTGTCTTCAAAGTTTGGACTGTTCCTTCTGTCAGGCCATTGGATGATGGATGATATGTAGCTGTTCTTGTATGTCAAATCCCATTTGACTGTTGGAAATAGTCAAATTCCCTGCTGGTAAACGAAAGCCCATTATCTGTGACCAACATTTCCAGAAGCCTGTGTATTGAAAATGAGGCGCACAGTTTTTCTGTTCCCGTGTTTGACGAATTAACTCTAAGTACTTCCAACCACTTTGAGTTAGTGTCTACAATGACTAAGAGCATTGAGCCCATGAGAGGTTGATGTGTAACCGTGGTTAGGGTTTACCCAGCCATTCCCATGAAAGTGGGGGAGCAGCTGGCAGTAAGTTTTGTCCTTATTGACACTCTGGACACTGCCCACCAATGTGGATATGTCTGCATCCAAATCTGGCCTCCAGATATACCATCTTGCCAACACCTTCATTTTGGAGACCTCTGGATGATGATGGTAGAGTTCAGCCAGTATCTGGTATGAATTTCGCTCGAGACACTCACACTTGCTCCTCATAATAATACGCCATCTGAAATAATCCCACAGAGGTCGATATCCCATCACCAAGTCACCCTTTATTTACACGTGAAGAATCATTGATACTGATCCAGCTCCCGCAGAGTTGGCTCTGAGTGAACAGGATGTCTGAAAGTCCTCTTTTATCTGTCAGCTAGGGCTCCCTGATTGGACCAGATTAACAGACCCAATCAGGCTGATCTCGTTACAATCACTACACAGGGAAAGTGCCATGCTCTGCTTTCTGCTACCTTACACATACCTATGTCCCTGCACCCACCTCCCACCAATGCTTATCCTCTGACAAACCCATTGTTGCATGCAACACCTTCCCTCACTCTCTAGTTACCCCCAATACTCAACACCACTAACCTCACATGCTCTGCTTATTGCCTCCTTACACCCTGGGAACACCTCAACACTTTTTCCCTACAAGCACCAACCCCAACAGCCATTCCACCCACCAATGTGCCCTTTAAGCTGCTGCAAGATTCCTCTCAGGCTCCGCACAGGTTGATTTTACTGCCATGTGCAGATCTCAGAGATCTATATGATTGAAAAAAATAATAGAGGGAGCATTGCCCCCCTTTTGTCTGACTTATTTGGTATCTTTATGTCATGACACAAAAAGACATCCCATAATGGGTTAAGATGTCATACAACACATGAGGGTCCCAGATATCTATGTCCTCATCCCTTCTGTGGAAAGGATATTTGCCCTGGCAGGAGAAGACGGGGGCTGCTCCTGTGGGGATGTGAAGATATCATTTTCTGAATGGCTATGTTAATAAAACTTGTCATCACGCCCTAATGGACCCTTAACTAGGCATCTAATACCACTGCTGATCAAGTTGCAATGTCTTCTCCCTTCACCTTACAGATGCACCCATTGTCAAACTTCCCCTCCTTCCACAGCTAAACATCTCTCTCATCCCATTACCATCAATAATACTTGTTTCTACATCTCCTACGGTCCTATATTTTTCTTAGTTCTCTTACTGTTCTCTGTGTTTATAAAATTCTTTTAGCGTTTACGTTACATGCTAGCATTTCTTCAAGTATCTTCTTAGACCTTTGAATATATTTCTTTTTTAACAACTCTTGTTAAAGTTTCCAAGCTTCGTATGATTTTTCTTTTCTGTATTGACCTATGATTTATTGTATACTGTTTTCTCATCTACATTTTCATTTCCATTTACAAGTCAGGCAATGGACTCCAGATATCGTTGCACCACCTCCACAGCTTGTGGGAAAATTCCTAACTTGGACCCTAATCAATGTTTCCCATTGTTTAAGCATCATCTTCGCTGCCAGATTATTTTTCCATTTTATCTCGGTTTGTTCCTTTTAATCTAACTAAATTAAGCATTTTTTTTTTGTCTTGGTTTCTCAGTCAAATTTCTCTTTGACTGTTCCTTCTCCACTTTAATGGTATTATTTTGATTATAGTTTTCCACTTTCACATGACAAGTGTTTCACTGCATTTCCTAGAATGAGATCCAGTATTACCTATTTTCTTGTTGGCATACAAGGATACTGATTTAAATAGCAAGATCAGACTCACTATAGAAATAACTTTCCTTCTTCAGTATTAATTTTAAGTAGATAAAAAATGCATTACCTTGATTTCTTTATCATCGTAAAATCTTTATTGTTGTAATTTCTACTTAGCCTTGAATATTTTTATCCTGCAAACAGCTGAAAGCTTTGCCTTTGAATCTGCCATGAGGTGTGAAGAACCGCATGTGAAAACACTCCAGTTTAAGTCTAAACATTCCTGCTTTGATATTTAACTTTTTAATTGGGAATGGCTGTCTTCACCATTGGTAAAGATTCCAACCATGAAATGTATTACTTTTCACGTGCTTTGGCAACAGTTAAAGTAATAGGTGAGCTTGAACATGCTGCATTGCGAGTTCAATACCGGTTGAATTTAGTAATCAGTAAGTCTGTGGAACAAGCTAATCTTTTACTATGGCAAGTGAACTTGGCCTTCAGCCCCTCGAGCTAGATCCACCAATCAATAAGATCGCAGCTGATCTGATTTTCAGATTGCCAATTGTACCTCATAGAGCCATACATCTTTGGAGATGTACGGCACGGAAGCAGACCCTTCTGTCCAACTCATCCATGCCGACAAGATATTCAAAATTAATCCAGTCCCATTTACCAGCATTTGGCCCACATCCCACTAAATCCTCCCTTTTCATGTACCCATCCAGATGCCTTTAAATATTATAATTGCACCAGCCTCCACCACTTCCTCTGGCACCTCATTCCATACACACACCATCCCCTGCATGAAAAAGTTGCCACTTAGGTCACTTTTAAATCTTTCCCCTCCCAACTTAAAACTATTCCCTCTAGTTTTAGATTCACCTACCCTGAGGAAAAGACCTTGCCTATTCACTCTATACCTTGCCCCTATGATTTTATAAACCTCTATAACGTCACGCCTCACCTCCAATGCTCCAGGGAAAAAAGCTCCAGCCTATTCAGCCTCTCCCTATAGCTCAAGACGTCCAACGCTGGCAGCATCTTTGTAAATCTTTGCTGAACTCTTTCAAGTTTCACAACATCCTTCCGATGGCAGGGAGACCAG